GAAGGGTTTTCACCATCAAGCCTCTCTCATTTTGTTCTTTCTCTCAACTTACAATCACCTTATGGTGCCTGTGAAGGTTTTCACCGATAAAACTTTCTCATTTTTGTTTTCCTTGTGCAGAACAGAGTGTTGCCCCTGATGTGAATCATACCTCTAACTCGCTTGACTTGGCACTACTCAAAGATTGATTGGAAGGTCTTTCTTTATACCGTAATGTGGGCTTTTGGATGGGGTTAGAAAGAAAGGATAAAGGCTCAAAAATAGCTTAAAAAGGCTCAAAATTATGACTTTTGGAATCAGATCTCTTACAACAACCACAACTTCTGCCCTAGTTTTTTTTTGCTTGGGGACTTTTGAAATTTTATTTGATGGGACCGAACCGTGAGGCTGCCTATGTATCCTTAAAAGGTATCAGGTCGAACGTAGTTCATGACATAGGAATTGCTTCATTTTTGTACTTTTCTCTCTTTTTTTTCTTTTTCTCCTTTTCCTTTTCTTTTCTTTTCTTTACTCTTTTTCCATTTTTCTTTCTCTTTTTCTCTTCTTTTTTTTCTTTTCTTTTCTCTCCCTTTTTTCTGTATCATATTTCTAAACTCTGCTTCTGATTCCAAAAGAGGGATATGCAAGAAAATAAATAAGTCTCAAAGGGGTGACAAAGGATAAAGTATTTAGATAGCAGAATAAAATGTCTTCGTCATTCCAATCTTCAAAGCATGCCAAACACAAACACAATTAAACAAACCAAAGAAATCATACGTAATATCTTTTGACTGCATCATAATTGAGAGCCATATCCACATATTTGTCTTCTACATCTGTTAAATACAAAGCACTATTGGACAACACTCTCGTTACCATGAACGACCCCTATCAATTTGGGGCAAACTTGCCTTTAGCTTCAACCCGATGTGGCATGATGCATTTCAATAGTGTTTTTTTACATTCTATCTGCCCTAGTTTCACACAATTCGGGCTTGAAATGATCTCAAAATCCCTTTACTTATTTCCCTCAAATGTCCCTATCACTTCAAAATTGTTTCGAAGCTTCAATGACTAAACTAACTTTTAAGATCAGGCCGAGAATTACGCATGCATGTCATGTCACTAGAGTCAACAGGAAAAGAACTATAAAAGGAGAAGAAAACTAAACAAAAAACAAAAATGACAAGAAATAACAGAAGATAGGAAATTGCATTAGATAGACGGTGAAACGGTTCGAACAACAAGACAAGCAAACTACAACGGGGTTAAAACCTTGGAACAAACCTAGACAACACTAAATGAGCTACTACAACTAAACGAACTAGGCAAAATAAAAGGATAGAAGGGTTTGAGTCACAAGATAATATCCGGATTACAACCCTAAAAATAACCCGGATAACAAAAATGACCACAAAATAAACCACAAAGACTCCTCCCTATCTAACCAAGAGAGGAGCATCTTTCCAGTTACCAAGCTCTGCATCTTAGCCACTGAGTTCAACATCAACATTGCTAGAACCTTTACAAGTCCTCATCTCTTTGTCCTTAGCAAATTGCTCTTGGATCCCTTTAGCAGGCTCGTTCTTATGATCAACTTCTGTATCCAAGAGTGATAGCATTGAAAGCTTCGCGGCAGGTGGCCCTCCGAGGATCTCAGAATAGTTCTTATATTCCTTTTCCACACAAATCATGTCCTCCATATGTGTCTTATTGTGAACATGCAATGGACTTTGGCTAGTATTTGCTGCATTTGGATTTTGCACGGTAAGGCCACCTACATCAATAAGCTTCTGAATCACATTCTTCAGGCGCCAACACTTTTCTGTACTGTGACCCGGGGCATCGGAGCAATATGCACACCTTTGAGAAAAATCAAACTTCTTTGGCAGAGGGTTTGGCATTTTTATCTGAATCGGCTTCAACATATCCAACTGCTTCAACCTTTGGAACAAACTGGCATATTATTCTCCAATAGGGGTGAAAGCCTTTTCTTTTTTCAGTAGTCTTTTCAATTTGTATTCTGGCCTCAGTTGGAACCTTTTGCGGGCAGGTGGCTGATATGCTTGAGGAGGCGGGTAAGACATTTGGTGAAGTGGTGCGGGCCATCGCGGGCCTCGGGGATGTGGAGCATATAGTGGTGCATTGTGGACGGGGTATTGGGGAAGTGATGTACGATTTTGGGGGTTCTGTGGAGAGAAGTAGCAGTGGGAGGATTGCAAGGATATCCACGGGGTCGACATTGAGGCTGAAAGCGTTTAGCAAGAACAACCACTGGACCCTGTCGTCGTCGGGGCTCAGCAACATCTTTTCTATCAATGGGAGGACTATCCCGAGCGACTTGTTCGTTCCATCTGAGCCAGAAATTCCTAAAACTTTCTTTGGGTTTCTTTTCCATCCGATATAGGGAGGAGCGGTTTGGGACAATGTCTATATTGTATTGAAAGTGTCGCACAAAATCTTGAGACATGTCGCCAAATGTATGCCATTTACTGACATCCTGACGCTTATGCCATTCCAAAGCTGCCCCAGTCAAGCTCTCACTGAAATACGCCATCAACAATTCATCTTTCTCGCCAACACCTCTCATTTCACTGCAATAACTCCTCAGATAGGATACTGGATCTCCACCCTCATCATACAAGTTAAACTTTGGCACTTTAAACCTCGCGGGTAGGCGAATGTCAGGGAACATACAGAACTCTTTGTAAGACATGCTAACCTGGTTTCCCATCCCTTGCATGTTCTTTAAAGACTGTCCTATGCTTTTCAGCTTCCCGAATATCTCATCTTGCCCTTCTTTTCCTGTAACCTTTTCATTTTCAGCATGAAGCTCATCCCGATGGCTCTTCTTGTATGAGTCAGGAAACTTGTGGGCAACTTTTGAGGAGTAATATTGGGCATCATGAGTTTTGAGTGGGTATTCATTGTTGGGAATGATGGATATGACAGGAGGACAATTTGGGGGAGAGGTAATTGGAGGATGAGTGATGGAGCTACTGGGGTAGTTCGGAAAGCTATGATAAATGGGTAGATCTGGAGAGTATGGAGGATCATCTGGCATTATGACCGGAGTTTGGGTAGGGGCAGCATCTAAGAAGCTAAGTGGTGGCGGGGGTGGTGCCTTCCCAGTTATCCAGGACTGATACATGTCTGTCATGTATTGTCTTAACATCCTTACCTCATCAGCCAAACCCGTGTCCTGTTCAACCAACTGCTTTCGGGCACCAGTATCAACTAACCCAATTTTGTTGTTGTCCACCATTGCCTTTTGACTTTATGTTGTGGAGAGGAGTTACTACTTCGAGAACCACAAACCAACCACCTTTCTGCTATGAAGATATCAAAAGGAACAAACTGGAGTCATCCCGTTAGCGTTAGGGCATTTAATAACAAAAATATCACATTGCGTGCAATGTACCTAGCAACAATTAATGGTTCTAGAATGACTTAGAGGGTCATAAGGTTACTTGGAATCATCCCAATTTGTCCATTTGAATCTTCTCTTTTCTTTTCTTTCCTCGCACTTCTTAGCTCACTCAATTTCTTTCCCCTTTTTTCTTTCTGATTATCGCTCTTTTTCTTTCTTCTCATTCTCACATCCCATAATTTCACCATCTTTTTCTTCTTCTTCTTTTTTTTCTTTTCTTTTATTTTCTTTTGGTAAATAAATAAAAATAATAATAATAATTCGATCGAACCTTATGTAGGTTGCCTACGTATCATGACGCCGCATGAATCAGATCTTTGCATAGTTCGGGAAGATCAGGAATAAAGGAAACAAACTGACGTTCTCTTTTTTCTTTTTTTTTTCTTTTTACCTTAATGACTACTTTGATGAGAAAAGAGAAATAAAAGAAGCAAATCTTTTTTTTTTGAATTTTTTAGACTTACTGTTCTATGACCTATTCCAGACTCAAGCTTAACGAGCATATATTCTTTCTTCTTCTTTTTTTGAAACAAATACTCTATGAGAAATTATTAGAGGAAGAAAAAAGAAAAACAAAACAAACAAAAAAACCTAGAAGAGAAAAATATTTTTTGATTCCCTTTTATAGTAAGGAAATTTAAAGAATAAACCACAGAAAAATATTTTGAATTTTCATTTGATATTCTGACGCAAGATTTCGAAACAAGCAACAAAATATTTTTGAATTTCAATTTTGATTGCCTAAAGGAAGAAACTTTAAACAAAAGATAAAATATATTTTTTTTTCTTCTATATACAATATCCTAAAGTTCTAATGAAAATATATAAATTTTTTCATTAATTACCCAAAGAAGAACCTCAAAAGAAAATCTTTTTTTTTTGGATTTTTGGAATTAATATCTTAAAAGAAAACTTTTAAAAAGGTACTAAAAGAAAATTCTCTCTTTTTTGGATTTTTAGTCTTAATATACTAAAGGAAATATAAAAGCAAATTTTTTATTTTATTTTATTTTATTTTGAGCTCTAAATATTAACTTCCTAAAGAAAACCAATTGAAATAAAAAAATTCATTTCTAAAATTAGTATTCTAAAGAAAACTTCTAACGGAGATATAAAACGCAAAATCTCTTCTTCTTTTTTTGGATTTTTGATTTATTACACACTTTTTCAAATGCAAAATAGAAAGTACAATAATAAAAAAAACTCGACATTACTATACAAAACTAAAAGGTAAAAGACGAAAAAAAAGAAAAACAGACTCAAAACATAAAAAAGAAAAGAAAATCTCCTTTTAATCCACTTCTGAATGAGCGATACTGACTAGATGGTCCTGGGGCTCTGTCACGATCAAACTCCGATAAGTAAATTTATTCCTGTATGAGAAAATTAAAACCCAATAAGCTAAGGACATAGAATACTACGTGAGACCCAACAAAATAGACATCTTCATCTCAAGAGAATTCAAGAAGGGAAACTCTGAATGGCTGTCTCTCCAGCTTGGGTCCACGCCGAATGGATATGGATCATTGTATTTTACCAAACCAACTGTTCGTGCATCACTGTGTAGCATCTCGGCATTTGTATGCTGAGTCACAAAATATGTGAAAGGGAACTGAGAAGAATTCATTATATATCAAGCCACAGTAAATTGAAAATATTGACATCAACAGGAGTACATAGCGACCCCAAAAGAGCATCTCTATGAAGCTGCCTAGTTTCTGAGAACTACGTTTGCTTTCCCTTGCGATAAGAACTAATGCTCCCAACAGCAAGCAGATTCCATGACCCCAGTCCCCAAACATCACAAGCAAAAAGGAAAGGAAATGTAACAATGGCATACACAGCTGGATTTGCCTCCTGGTATTTAGCAACACCATATGCATCAATAATTTTTTGAAATGCATTTGTGAAACTGTTTGTCCTAAAGTATGCTGGAGGTGACTCCACAGCATCCATCGCATGAAATATAATGCCCAGTTGTGAACTGCTATCAAATGTTGCACGCTGCAAAGCCTCTTTGTATCTTGGTCTTCGCAAATATTGGACACCAGCCCTCACCCACAAGGCACTTCTTTGTAACGTCGGAATTTAGTATATTTAACATGTCATACACTGCCTTTTGTGTTTTAACCATGTTTATCCATTTTGAAAGGTGATATCCTATGGAGGTCAAAGCCTTATCTCTATGGCGCAGTCCAACATCCAAAGTGGTCTCTAATTCAGATAGTCGAGACAAAACTTCTTGAGTTATCTGCCTTCTCTTTGTCGTGTCTTCAGGAACAGGATAGCGATTTGCACCAAATGCCTCACATATTTTCAGTATTTTTGTTCTCGCCTGCTCACCTGAAAAGAATACTACAAAGACTACTTTCTCAACCATTTCGTTTGAGGAAGGATCCAGTATTTCATCATCAGCAACTGCCTGATTGAAAAGCATATTACCCCTTGTAGCACGAAACAACATTCTTTCAAATTGAACAACCTTGGACTTGCAGATAATGCCACTAATAAATCTAACTCCAGACTGATTTAAAAGTGTTGAACGCATCTCCTGCTCAAGTAATGATGCTGTATCAGCACGGTTATCACTGGGGTACACATTTTCAACCAATTTTGTTTCCTAATCAGTGGTATGACTACTTGAAACAAGGAAGCCACTAGCCTTTTGCAATACCATCTTAAATTCAAGCAACTCATTATATGATTGCCGCAATTTCTCACTATTAGCATTCATTTCAACCAACTCATGTTCATGCCCTGCCAGTTGTATCTCCAATTCTTCTAATTCAATATCAGGTTGGGAAGCAGGAAGAGGGGGAGGCAATATACCAGCTTTGTGTATCTGATCTTTGAAATATCGTAGCTTTCTTGACATCTAGGCGCATCTTACCTGGTTTACAAATGTTCTCTGGAAAGGCTCTTTTCGGCATTTAGATCACGGAATTGGAGAAGTGTTGGCCAAGGTAAGTGACAGCACGATGAGCGGACTCAAAAGGAATAATAAGCTAAGCGAAGAGATTCGCTAGAAGTGCAAAATTCGGCCCCGCAAAGCCAAGAATCTAAGATTTACTAGGAAGACTGAACCCTATGTGGGTTGCCTACGTATCACGCTCCGAAAGACGAGAATCAGGTTTGCGTAGTTCGGGCAGATTGGTTACGGGCGAGAATTAAAAAAATAATAATTTGAAAGAAAAAAAAATTTGAAAAATGATGGAACATGTAAACTCTTTTTGTTTTTATTTTATTTTTGATTTCCTGATTTTCGTAAAATGATGAAAGAGTGCAAAATCTTTCTTTTGAATTTTCAAGCTCTTTTTCCTTAACAAAAAATGTGACAGAAAACATAATTGGGCCCCACTCTCTTCACACTTCACTCTTTCTTTTTTTTTTCTTTTTTTTTTTCATTTGCCCTCAACTATCATTAGTCCGCCAAATGACCCTTTTACCCTCGAAGAAATGCAACATGTAGCACATAGGATGCATCAATATGGTCTATTATTTTGAGGTACATCTGTCCTAGACAGACCCAACCCCTATGTTGAGTCTCCAAAGTCAAATACACATGATGCAAACAAGCGTTCCTACTAGGGATCCGGCGTGAGGCTGAGTTATTCTAGGTTTAAAACCTGAGTGTATTTGTTCTAGACCTGACTTACCCGAGTGAACAACTCGAGCCGGGGGGGATGGGGGTGCGTATCGGTAACCAAAAGATCATCCGGCTTTGCAGCTTATCCGAACCTCGTTCTATTTGGGATATGACACTAATAAAAAGAAGTCACGACCAGCATGCACTCCTCAGGAAAGAGAAGATAGGGGTTTCGTAGCAGTTTATATATACAGTTCAGATAATATCAAAGCGGTAAAAGCAATATTTAGCACATTAGGCCCAAACATGTAATAAAATCAGATAATAAATAAAGCCAAATATAACAATTCATCTAAGCTCGAATTTTGAACCCTGAACCAGAGATTCTAGGTTCTTATCCCCAGTAGAGTCGCCAGAGCTGTCACACCTCCTTTTTACCTACACCCCCGTAAGGGAGTATATAAGGAAGTTTTTTCCAATTTAAGTGACAATCGAAACAGGATTATTTTATTTAAAATTCAGAGTCACCACTTGGGATAATTTATGGTGTCCAATTTCACCGGTTCAAATCCCGAATCGAGGAAAGATTGACTCTGTTTTACAGTCCGCGAACACAGAAACCCGGGTAAGGAATTATGTTAACCCGGGAGAAGGTGTTAAGCATTTTCGGGTTCCGTGGTTCTAGCACGGTCGCTCAACTGTTACAATTAGCCTATTATCTGATTGTAACACATGTTTTAGCCTATAGTTCAATTTTAACTTATTAATCGCTTTTATTCATTTTTAGGAAGATTGCAACGTTATTAAAACTCGTCTTGAACCACGTCACATAAATGCACCTGCGGTCCTCGACATATTTTATCTAACATTATTGAGATTTGGATTTGGGTCACATAAATGCGCACCCGAGTTTAAGAAGGTAATTTATTAAAATAACGCGCCTAAAGTAACTACGCGTTTTTAAATTTGCGAGGGCCATGGTAATTCAACTAAATGGCACGCCTTGAATTCTAAAGGAAAAGCATTCAACTAAATGAACTACGAATATTCATATTTAACTAGTTAGGGATTAAGTATCACAACTACGTCACGGAAACCGTACCCGTAGCTATGGTAATTGTTATTATAAATGTGCCCAGAGATTCATCTATTCACGTTTCGACGGCCTAAACTTGCTCCTAGCGAATTCAAAATAAACAGATCTTGACTTATGTTTCATCTCAAACCACGGTTGCCTAGCATTTTTTGTTTAAGAAGTCAGACACCAAAGAATATTCAATACTCCAACCCAGGAAAAGATTGACAATAGAATGACCAATATCAATAAACTCAAATCTGAGCAACTTCATAACCAATATCAAATAACTCAAATCTAAGCAACTCGACTTATGTTTCATCTCAAAACTTTATGACCAACTCAACATGATGAGAGAACAGAACAATCTTGCCAAAATCCCACATTAAAACACAAATCAGCCAGAATTCTAGTAGGACAACAAATCAACCACCATTCCATCTTAATAAAAATCGAGCAAAACAGATCAACCATAACAAAAGAACAACGAAAACACGACCAAATACTCAATCACAGGAGTCCTTCTCCATCCTTAATTACTATGGTAATCACTTGGCGATACAGAATATAATGAGTGCATTTAGATCTGAATTTAAATTGGATCAGACCATGACATAATGGGATCAATTACAGGAAACTAACAAGCTAAAAAACAGAGCATATGATGCCACAATTCTCTTTAGTCCATTTATGAAATACTTCATTGAATAATGAGAGCAATTAACATATATCGCTATGCTAGCACGAGGATGCACAAATCCGATAGAATAATCATATAAAACGAGTAATGAAATCACGATTTATCTGGAGTTCAATTCCTCTTAACTTAAACAGAATGAGTTCATGAACAAGTGGAATCCAGTAGGAACCATACGCAATTAAATTCAACTGTGTATAAAATTGTGCTAACCTTTCTTCAATGTATCAACAAACGAAAACCTCCGACAAGCCGGATAACACAGCAGCGAACGTCGAGCCTTGGCGACGAATCAGATCCGCGGACAGAATCTTGAATCGGATGCCTCACTGATCTCTCCTTCTCGTCACTGTTTCTGTCCATATGTGCGCTTGTGCGTGTGTTTGAATGTTGGAAAATCAGAGTTTGAGGGTCTTTGATTTTGGAAAATTGGAGGTAGCAGTAGGCCTAGAGGAAGGGATTTTTCGGCTGCCTCTTATCCTCCTATGGTTCATGGTTGATTTTATGTATGCCTTAGAGATTAGGGTGATGGTTCAGGAAATTCTAAGGTGCTATTTCATGGGTGAAGAAGATCAGATGTTGAAGGGAGTGAGGTTTCGCTAGTGTTTGTTAAGAAGAAACCATTGAAATGGCTCTTCTTCTCCTGTCAAGGGGCGAGATACAGGGGGGGTCTCTCTATATGTGTATTGATGCGCTCATTTCTTATCTCTTCTTCAATGTATTAGGCGTTAGTTCCCTTTTGCTGATTTAGGCGTTCCTATATGTAGAGTCTAGGTTTAGGTTATTATTTTGTGTATTTTGCCAATTAGTCCATAGGTATTTTTTTATTTGTTTTTGTTCCAAAGAAGAGTATAAAAGGGTCCCTAGGCTTAATGGACTAATCCGAATTGGGCCAAGAATTGGGCTCTACAACTCTTAAAATTGTGATCCAACACCTTAATTGACTCATTTTAAAATAAGATAAAAATACTACACAATGCAAAAGCTAACATGAAACTATCATATTTTTTTTGTATTTTCAAAATTATATAAAGATAAAACTAAGGTACTATTTTTTTGTATTTTTTTTTGAAAAGATTTATGAAAGATACATACTAAAATATATTTTTTTGTAATTTTTATTTTTCTTATAATAAAATAAAGTAAAAGAGTAAAAATGAGTTGAAATAGCTATATTAGGCCTAAATTAAATATTTGCGTGTTAAATATGAAAAAATCTTGGGAAGGGTCAAAAATCACATGTCTACACGAGCCACGAGCCGCAGAAACAAAACAGTGAGGGCAGCCCAGTCATCCGTAGGTGCGGAAGTTTTGACACACCTGCATGACCGCAGGTACGAGTGCAGTGGTCGCAGGAGCGGAAGGCTTGCAGAGGCAACCCTTTTTGTTCAGAGATGCGGAGCCTGGCTAGGTAAGAGAAATGCGCACCTGCGAGGATCTTGCCACAGGTGCAGGACCGCAGATGCGACCAAGGCACCGCAGGTGCGAAAATTGCTGGGCAGAAAGGTTCATTTAATACGGGACTTAAGCCATTTCTAACACATTTCTCTCACTCTTTGGACGAATTTTGGAGCTTCTTAATAGGGATTTTCACCTAGAACTTGGAGGTAAGTGATTCCTACTAATTGTGATTTAAATACATAGTTTAAGGGTTAATTATAACATGTAAATTAGTGAAAATCATGGGTTTAGGTAAAAACCTAGGTTTTTGATAAAAATGAGATTTAACCACGAAATTGGTTATGGAATTTTTGTGAAAATCATATATTTGAGTTCATAGGGTTATAGGTAACAACTTTCTTCAAAAAATTTCTAAATCCAAGCACGTAGGCGTGGGGGTGAGTTTTAGGGATTCTTCAAATAGGCTTGGGAAATCACGTTGATAGTTAGGATATAAACTTTTAAGCATGTATTAATTATTTTATATAACATTTGACTAGATTCGAGTCGTTTGGCGCCAAATTGAGGGTTTGGGAAAAATCTTGGACCGGAAAGTTGGTCTTGAAACGATGTAAGTCTCTTTTCTAACCTTGTAAGAGGGAATTAACCCCATAAGTGAATTATAACTAATATGTGATCCTATGTGTGGGGGCTACGTACATACGAGGTGACGAGAGTCCATACGTAGCTACTAATTATGTTATTGTCCGGGTAGTCTAGGACTTATACCATGCTATACTTGAAATGTTTGCACCCCTACTTATTGATTTACTTGCTTAAGTCATATCTTAAGTTGATAAAAAAATTGTAAAAGGTTAACTCCACTTACTTGAAGTTGCGAATGGAACACTTGACTATAAATGAGAATTTATGTTTTACTTGAAATATTTTCTATTTGTGGAGAGGGTCGAACGAAGCGGTAGCAGATAGATGCATCTATGGTTTGTACCATTCGATCCTCGACAGTGCACAGTTTAAATATTATGTTAGATCGGGTCGTACGACCTCGGCATAATTTATGCATGATAAATTTTTGGAACTATTCATAATTAATATTGCTTAAATGTCTTGAGATACAAATTGTTATATGATGAAACTAAACTTGGGATTTAATATTTACGAAAGAAGAATTTATTATTTCCTGTTATTGAGCTTTCAATTTTATTCATGAAATCCATGCTTAGTGTAAAATTTTGATATATCATTGTTAGCTCATAGTAAGTGTCAAAGTCGACCCATCATCACTACTTCTTCGGAGTTAGACTAGATACTTACTGGGTACATATTGTTTATGTACTCATACTATACTTTTGCACTTAATTGTGTAGGATCTGAGGCAGTTACATCTGGTTACCAGTTCGACGCGCATATTTGATCCCCGCTACGAGACTACACAGTGAGATACCCTTTCGAGCCATACTGCAACAGTCGAAGTCTTCCTTTTGTTATATTTTTCTGTCTATTTGTGAAATAGTAGACTAGTATTCTTTTGTATATTCTATTAGAATGCTCACACTTGTGATACCAGGTCTTGGCACACACTAGTAAACTTATGATTTTAAGTTGTATTTCTATGGTTATGATTTCATTTAGCTGTTTTCGCTTTGATTACTTTAAAAATTCGTTATTCATTAAACTCTTTGAATTTAAAGAAAGTTAGTTGCTTGAAAAACTTATTAAAAATGGAAATTTCTAGATTGTTCATTGTTGGCTTGCCTAGCAACGGTGTTGGGCGCCATCACGACCTAAACTAGAATTGGGATGTGACAACATGGTATCAGAGCACTAGGTTCACGTAGATCTCACAAATTATGGGCAGACCTAATAGAGTCTTGTGAATCGGTGCGTAGACGTCTGTACTTATCTTTGAGAGGCTATAGGGTGTTAGGAAACTACTCTTTATTCATCTCTCATCATGCAGTTGATGGTATACTATGTTTCTTTATCTTATTCTCTCATAGTTGATGAGAACGCGCACGGCAAACATTCCATAACCGGGAGAAGTTGCCCCCCTATTGCTAGAGGCCGAGGCATAGGCCGGGGGAGGGCACCAGCCCGAGGTAGGGGATGATCACGTCCCTGAGTTGTCCCAATTGCACCCCCAGTTGATCCAGTGGAGGATCCCATTATTAAGGTTTAGGGCGAGGTGCCCGCAACAGAGCCAGCCCTAGTGGATTTCATGTCATCCCCGGGCTTTCAAGAGGTCATAGGCCGTATGCTGCGGTTCATGGATACTATGACCCAGGATGGTTTATTTTTAGCAGACCTAGCCACATCTCAGGTGGGAGAGGGAGCACAGACCCCTACTACCTAGGCTTCGGGGCATACAACTGTTGTATATCAGACCCCAGGTGCACTACCCATGGGCGGATCCTAGCCAATTGCAGTAGTTGTACTTGAGCCTAGACCAGCCGCGACCGGTGAGCCGCAGAATCTATTGGACAAATGGACTAGGCTACACCCTCCTGTCTTTGAAGGTGAGTGATATGAGGATCCCCAGGACTTCATTGATAGGTGCAGGGACAGACTGCACAACATGAGGATATTGAAGTCCCATGGGGTGGATTTCACTACTTTCCAGGTGGAAGGCAGGGCCTGTAGGTGGTGGTTATCTTATCTTTTGGCAGTCCATTAGGTTTTCCTCCCATAACTTGGGACCAGTTCACACGCCTATTCTTGGTCAAGTATATTCCACCCTCTTAGAGGGAAGAGTTGTGGTTTCAATTTGAGCAGCTCTAGTAGGGTCAGATGTCTATGATCGATTATGAGGCGAGATTCTCTGAGTTGTCTCGCCATGCACTTATGATACTTCCTACTAACTTATATATAGTGCGAAGGTTTATTGCGGGGTTGTAATCAGGTATTCAGGCTACTATGGCCTGAGAGGTTGAGATAGGGACTTCTTATCAACTAGTAGTAGAGATAGATCGGAGGATTGAGGGTTACCGTTTGAGAGGTAGGGAGCAGATACAGAGGGACAAGAGGGTTCGTTATTCTAGAGAGTTTAAAAGTGCCCCAACTGGGGGCCGATGTCAGTTGGAAGGGTTCAACATAGCAGGCCCACATATCTAGCACTGTCATACCTCATTTTTACCTACGCTAGCAGGGGCGCAGAGGGAGTTTTTCCAATTAAAGGACAATCGAAACGGGATTTGTTTATTTATTTCAGAGTCGCCACTTGGCAGATTTATGGTGTCCCAAGTCATCGGTTCAATCCCGAATCGAGGAAAGGATTGACTCTGTATTACAGTCCGCGAACCAGAAATCCGAGTAAGGAATTCTGTTAACCCGGGAGAAGGTGTTAGGCATTCCCGAGTTCCGTGGTTCGAGCACGGTCGCTCAACTTGTCATATTCGGCTTATTTATCTGATTTTAATACATGTTGAACCCATGTGCAAATTTTAACTTTTAACCGTTTTTATTATTATCATTATTAACGAGAATTGCGACGTCGTGAAAATACATCTCGAATCACGTCACATCAATGCACCCGTGATTATTGACACATTTCAACTCTGTCGAGATTTGGATTTGGGTCACATAAATGTGCACCCGAGTTTAAGAAAGTAAATTATTAAAGGCGCGCCTAAAGCGACTAGCGTATTATTATTTTGGGTGAAGCCGTGAAATTTTGCTAAACGGCCCATCCCGAAATCTAAATATTTTAATATATACAATTATCGAGGGCCCCGCAATCTGTGCGTTTTATTTGGCGAGGCTCATCTCGTTTATTTTAAAAGGACAATCCTAAAGTGACTACATTTTTCTATTAAGTTCGTCTCTAAAATAAAAGAGAAGAGGTCCTAATTAGTTACATGTTTATGAGCTCGTACCTCTTATTATTTATTAGATTAAGACAAATGCAAACGGAAAATTGCAACAGAGCTTACTCAAGGGAGATTGTATCGTTCCTTATTCTATTAGTTAATAACACTAAAGTTGAGATTATGAATAGAACACGAGATTGACACCCAGTAATATCAAAACAAACTAACTATTCTTTGATTAATTTAAACTAACATTATTAGATGAATTGAACTACTGGAATTAACTATGTGTAATACAAAGCCATTTTTTTAACTCTTTTTACGACTTGTCGAAGAAATGAGTCAATGCTTAAAAAACTGACATCAGGCTAACATCAATCACTAACATTTGAGAATATTAGTTACTAACATTATTCACAATGCTATTTAAAATGATGTTACTTACTCAAGTGAACTCGCAATTTCAAAACTAACCCTATTAAACCAACATGCTGATTTTCATGAACTATTTGAACCTGTTTTGA